TCCAAGGCAAAGCCTTTAGAAGTCATTAGATCTTGAGGGTGGAACCCTCATAAATGGCACAAGTCCCATTATAACAGAGGCCACTAAAGCTTATTTGACCTTTCACCACGAGAGGGCACAGAAATCAGGAARTGAGCCCTCATCAGCACCTGAATCTGTCAGCACCTTGATCTTGRACTTTCCAGTCCTCAAAACTATGAAAAATAATTCTGTTGTTTATAACTCTATCCAGGTTATGGTAGTTTATTATATCAACCCCAAACAGACTAAAAAAAGATCTTATACCATGAAAATTGTTACATTGGTAACATTTTTTTTTATCACAATCAGAATTAACTTATCATTTCTTCCTAATTCTCTGTTCAATGCTAAGTATAATTGAGAACTTGTCAACTAGCTGTAAAATCATGCATTCTTTTTTTTTTTTTGGATACTGGGGAATGCATTCAGGGGCACTCAACCACTGCACTGAGCCACATCCCCAGCCCTATTTTGTATTTTATTTAGAGACAGGGTTTCACTGAATTACTTAGCACCTCATTTTTGCTGAGGTTGGCTTTGAACTCATGATCCTCCTGCCTCATCTTCCAGAGCTGCTGGGATCACAAGCATGCACAACTGTGAAATCCTGCATTCTTAATAGAAAAATTGGCCTCTGGGGGACAGAAACTGGTTCTTGTGAAAGCTAGTTAAAATTTACATAGGTATATATATACATAAGTATATGTACATGAATATACATACACATACATATATGACATATAYATGTATGTGACATATATGTCACAGATAAACAGTATTAAAGTATAGATATATAAACAGAATAAACAAATATGCAATATATCTGTGGTATTAAACTATCATGAAGGGTGAGGTTGTGGCTCAGCAGTAGAGTGCTTGCCTAGCACGTGTGAGGCTCTGGGTTTGATCCTCAGCACCACATAAAAGAAATAAAGGTATTGTTTCCAACTACAATAAAAAATAAATAAATATTTWAAAAAGTATCATGAAAGAGGAGGAAAAATAGGAAAAAATATCTAAAACACTCCCTGGTGGGAACAATGAAAAGGAATTAAGAAATGCTACTTGAAGTAAATGTTCAATGATATTTGCTAGTTTCATCCAGCACAGTAAGTACTTTTCCTTAACATAATCCTACTTCTGAGTATTAGAGAGTYAACTGGGTTAGAGAGTCAATTGCTTGTTTTGTTTTTGTGTCATATTGACTTAGGAAAATAAGTCTGCACAGAAAATAGAAATATTCCCATGACTCAGAGGAATGATATTTTAAGTGTAATTCTCATATTTCATCTGAGGACTACACACTCTTCCAAAAGAACATTTCATCAATCCTCCAAGCAATGTATTTTACAGAGAAACAGAGAAGAGCACTCTTAGGTTCTCTTAACCTGTCTCCATGGGGATAACAATTAATTGTTCTAAATTCAGGCCTGGGAATTTTCATCTCAGAGTAGTAGAGAGCATCTGTGGAGCTCTTTMTGCAGTAGTCATGGCTCTCAGGTGAGGATTGCCTAGGAATCTCTGATGACCTCGTACCCAAGGGATCTGGTGAATGAGCCATTCCATAAAGGTCCATGCAGAATCAGTGTTGTCCTCAATGTCACTCTGACCTCCTCTCTCACTACTCAAGGCAAGTTGTCTGTTGTAAAACRCTTCTCCTGGGAAAGGCACTGGTTGTTAAGATGGTTTCCAAAGGATAACTGCCTTTTCTCAAATGCAAAGGTGATGCTACATTCACAACAGAATACTCATCTATTCTAGCAAGTCCAGAAGAGAAAGTARTGGATTTCAAACATGAGTGATTTTRCACACATGGCAATAGCATCTGTCTTTCCAATGAATTTGAATATACTTGTGTCTGTGCTCCAGAGATACAGATTTCTCATTTTAAGATAGAATTCTCTTCTGGAACTCTTCCTGTGAGAACATTTCYCCACCCACCCCCATCTATGTTCTGAAGGCACTGAGCCTTTTAGATCCATATTATGCCCTTTTAGAAGCAATGGTACCCTCTTCAATGGGTTTCTAATGGGAAAATACATATGCTAAAAAATATGGATCAGAATTTTTCAAGGTATCACCCATAGGGTCCATGTAGACCAACATAATTGTCCCAGTTTCACCTGMAGGGGTTGAGTTTCATAGATTTGCTTTCTGATAATAGGAGAAATGCACATGGATTGTATTCCATGTTTAAACCCCACTGGTCTCTTTTAAGCTTGAAAATGAGCATTACCTCATTCTTTCCTTGATTTCATGACCTTATGTCCTCCTGAATTTTCTCCTACTTTCATGCTTAACTTCTTCTTCTTTATTGACTCAAGATTTCTGCCCATCTCTTAAATGCTGTTGTCTTCAAATTTTCTCTTTTTTCTCTCTCTACAAAATATTTTGAAATGATCTTACCCACCAAATTTCTTTATATGTAATGGCTTCTGACCAGTCTTTTCCCTGAATATCAGACCTTCATTTAACAGCCACTTGAGATATTAACTCACGTGTTCCAAAATTCTCAAAATCAATGTCTCTCCCTGAACTTATCACACCTGCTGGAGATCCATCACCCCTATCCTTTCCAAGATTATTGAAYAATGTACATGCCAAAATTTTGCTAGAAGTCTAGGTATAATCCATGGCCTCTCTCTCCCTTTCCGTCTATTTCCAATCGCACACCAAATGTCCCTTTCACATATATTCACTATTGCTAATAACAATTCAGTTTACCACTATCTTTAGCCTGAGTGAGTTTACCAGCCCCTTAACTGTTTTATTGTTTAGTTTATACATAAAATTGTACACATTTATGGGGTACAAGATGATGCTTCAATATACATATACATTATGTGATGTGCAGATGAGAATAAACATATCTATCTCTTCAATATTTATTTATTATTTATTTATGGAGAAAACAGTCAAATCCTTTCTTGTAGCATTTTTTGAAATACACAATATATTATCATTATCTACAGTCACCTTACTATGTGTGAGAACATCAGAACTTCTTTTTCCTAACTAACTATAACTTAGTGCCCACTGATTAACTTCTCCCCCTCCCCACTATTCCCATATTCTCCCAGCCTCTGGTAACCACCATTCTACCATCAACTTACACAAGATTACCTTCTTCAGATTCCACATGTGAATGTGATCATGTGGTATTGTTCTTCTGTGCCTGGATTATTTCACTTACAATGATCTCTAGTTCCATCCCTATCATTGCAAATGACAAGATTTTATTCTTTCTTATGAACAAACGGTATTCCATTCTGTACATATTTGCTTTATCCATTCATCTATTGATGGACACTTGAGTTGTTTCCACTCTTGGTTTTTGTGAATAGTGCTGGATAAGCGCAGTTGGCTCTTCAATATAATATCACTGAATGGTATGGTCTTCCTGTTTTTAATTTTTTTCAGGAAACTCCATTTTGTTTTTCATAGTAGTTATACTAACTTTCATTCCCACCAACAGTGTGCAAGCATTCCCTTTTTCTCTATATACTTGCCAGCCCTTGTTATGGTGTGTGTGTGTGTGTGTGTGTGTGTGTGTGTGTGCACCTATGCATGCACATGTACTGGAGTATAAATTCAGGGCTTCAAACATGCAAAGTAAGTGCTCTAGCATGGAGCTACATCCCCAGTGTGTATCTTTTTGTTAACAGCCATTCTATCAAGAGTGAGGTGATATCTCATTATGGCTTTAACTTGCTTTTCCYTGGTGATTAGTGATGTTAAACACATTTTTATATGCCTTCAGCCATTCATACATATTCTTTAAGGTCTGTTACTCATTTTAAAATCAAATTATTTGTTTTTTGTGGGTTTTTTTGTTTGTTTTACTATTGTAATGTGTGTATTATTTGTATATTTTTAATATTAATCCCTTGTCAGATATATAGTTTGCAAATATTTTCTCCCATTCTGAAGTTTGTTTCTTTGCTCTGTTAATTTTTTTTTCTTAATGGTGCAGAAGATTGATATAATCCCATTTGTTTATTTTTACTTCCAGGAAAGAAATCTCTTTCCAAAAAAAAAATCTTTTTTATTCTAATGTTTGGAACTGGTTTTGTATCTTTTCTTTTTTCTGGTATTTTTATAGTTTCAAGTCTTACATTTAGATCTTGACCTCATTTTGTGTTGATTTTTATAAGAAGAGATACAGATCTGGCATTGTTCTTCTGCATGTGGATATCCCCTTCTCCTCCCACCATTAACTGAAAAAAAAAATCCTTTCTCCAATGCATGTTCTTAACACTTTTTTTTTAAATCATTTGGCTTTAGATGCATGAATTTATTTCTAGGCTTTCTTTTCTGTTCCACTGGCCTATGTGACTTATTATTATTATTATTATTTTTACTAAGACCATGCTGTTTTGATTATTATAGCTTCATAGCATAGCTTTCTTCTCTCTTTCTTCTCTTTCTTCTTTTCTTTTCTCTTTCTTCTCTCTCCAGTATTGTTCCTGTAACTTTGTTATATAATTTYGTCAGGATCCTTAACTCATYATTTTCTCTTCTCCACTAATCACTTATCTCTCATTTCCTCTTCATGTCTTCCAGGAATTGAATGTTCAAGTGTATTTCATTAAATTTTATTAATAYACCATCATCTCTCTTGTCTTAGGTTATTTATGCTTTCATCATGGAGAGCTCCCTTCCTGCCRCCTCACAGCAGATTTCACTCCAGTATGCTGTCATAGTACACACCATCACTAACATCAGTAACATGGCTGTTTGCATCCCCTGTTCCTAAGCATRTATCATGCTTCTGTCAATGAAGGAAAAATGCATTAGAGCAACCAGGCAAGAGAAAAAAATAAAGGACATCCAAATGGGAAAAGATGAAGTCAAATTGTCACATTTTCCATGATTTAGAATATTTACTTTAAAAAAAATTAGAAAATTAAAGAGAATTATAGACCTTGGGAGATAATATCTTGCTTTCTGTGACTTCTCTCTCTCTTTTTCTTTCTCAGAGCTCTTCCTGCCATGATGCAATGGGTCCGCACGCAGAAGCCAGGAGAGAGTGGCATCAACATTGTCACTGCCGATTTTGTAGAACTTGGTGATTTTATCAGCACTGTCATAAAGCTCAACTATATCTTTGATGAAGGTGAAGCCAACACTTGATAGTCCTATTTGGAGTGGCCATGAATAAGATAGAGAAGACTCATTGTATTAGGTGTATTATCTGTAAACACTCTGATTTTCCTTTTCCACTGAGTCTTGGAAAGGATTAGGGCTTGTAGTGGGTGGGGAAAAGGGGAAATCATTTTCTTCAGTGATTATGTCACAATCTACTATAAATATTTCATTTCCTATTTGATGAGCGAAATCTACTTCTAGTGTTAGGGATAAAAAAGTATAGTGAATTTTGTTTTTTGAAATTAGTCTTTTAACGTACAACTCATGAGTGGTTACTTGATTGCATTTTATAATTTCAACCTAGGGCTCCTTTACTGTCTAAACTCTCTAACCTTTCCACTCCCTCTGTTGCTCGCTCTTTCTAATCAGATGCTGTATGGTACTCAAAACAATTGAATGTCCAACATAATGTGTATTACCTTGTTGTACTGAAATTTATTTGTTTTGTGGGACTTGATATAATATTCTGTAGTCGTCTGCAATTGGGCAATCATAGCCAACTTTTGGTCATAGAAAATGTGCATCCAATCAGTTTCCCTGCATCAGTGATATTGGAGGCCATAATCAGTGATATTTGTGTTATATAAAAACAATAGTGTGTCACAGTATTTCCATTTAAGGCAGCTATAACTATAGTGTAAAAATTTTTTTTGATAGGACTGAGTGCCAACTCCCTAGTAAAAAATGAGGAGTGAGGTATGTGGGGGGAGATGGATGTCACTTTAGTTCAGCAACCCCTAGAAGTAATAATACTCTGCAAATACCCAGTAAATGATGTTATAGCAAATGCATTAAAATCAGAAATCTGGATTCCTCCAATAACTTTCTTAACAATTTTGATTTAAATAAAAGGAAGAACAAAGAAAGATGAAAGTCAGGATTTCCAAATATGTTCTAAATCCCAGGTTTTCAGGAAAATTTCTCAAGAAATTTCAATTGACAGGAAGAAAGGAGAAAGGAAGAGTAGTGGATGGAGCGTTTTAGAGCAATGTCTTCGAAACTACGTCCACCAAACCACAATGATCCATAAAATATCTCTAGGAAATCCTTGAAATACGTGTGATCTGGACAGATTTGTTTCAAATTGGCAATCACTCATCACTTSTGGGATCTACCCTGTTCTAGAGGTTAGATGAAGGCAGGGGGCAAAAGTGTCATACAAAGATTCTGTGACCTAACTTTTGATAATTCAAGCCCTTAGGAAAGGACAGTGATAACACAGTTTGAGCCCTGCCTCCTTTTGGTGTCTTTACAACAGTTGACAATTCCAAAAATTAGTTTTCAAAAGCACAATGCCCCCTTACCTGTATGCATCACAGGAATATTGTGAGGCATTTATACAAATCTATAAAAKTTGTTGAAATCCTTACAATTTTGAAGTATTTTTTATCTTCATATTTAGAAATAATCKCACCTCCATATTTTTCTGGGACAGTGCAATTCCATGCAAATTGAGACTATGGAGAAATAAGAAGCATGCCCTCAGCTTTTAATTAATCCAAGTGCAAGATGTATAACTTAATATCTTAGACCTAGGTAAGGGAGTTGATTACATATGTCAAGATTATGGATAATCAAGAGTTGATTATGAATATTCATTGTCAGAAAACAGTACTTAATAGTAACTGCAGAGAAGGAATAAAAGATTTTTTATACTGAACAGAATGTTCATGAAAAATGTAGTACCTGTTTAGACCAAGTAGCACACGTATACATTTTATAAGCAACAGATACATTTGGACATTCCAGTTGAGTGTATATTCTTTGTCATACACAATATACCTACACATACCCACTCCTATGCAAGATACAAATATACACAAACACACAAAAAAATAGACAGATACAGTATAATTCTTTTCAAGTGAAAACACCATTATTAAATAATTTAATTTTAACACTTAGTCTCTTAACTTGTGATATAAAAAAAGGATGGACACAACCTTTGAAAATTGAGTAGCTGATCATATTAAAATATTTTTGTAAAAATATTATAGTTTAGAACWCAAATATTTACAAAATATAGTTCTTTTCTTCCATTTTCTCTTCCATTACAGTTTTTTTTCCCTTTTCACCTGCTCTCTATGTGCAACCGAACATGAATTCTTTTTAAAAGGCTATGGGCTATTGAAGTTTATGTCCTGTAAATTTGCTTTTTGAACAGACTTTTTTTGCTGGTTCTTCATCATTCATCACTCCAGATATTTCAGCAATTACACTTGTTATGACACAGGATTTAACTTATAAATATGACAGAAAACAGGTCTTTCAGCCTATTAACGAAAATGAATAAAATATAGAGGTAACTATATTGTATTTTCTTGAAATTAAATGCTTTCCTATAATGTTTGCTTAGAATTAACTTTGTTATATTTGTCATTTGGGTGCTGGAAATAACAAACTTGAGGAAGCATTCGACAGTGCAGTTTGTAAACTGAGGAAAGCTTCTGATTGCCATTAGCGATATGCACACAAAGACCTTGTTAGACAAAAGGTACTTTCAATCTAATGTTCTGATTCCCACATGGACATACAGTGCCACCTCTGTAGCAGGCACTAAGAGTAAATAGACTTGCCTTAATTCTAAAGGAGGGTAGAGATAGTAGAGAACCCTGAGAGAATTCACTAGAGATTCCTTGGAGAGGGAATGGCAAGGAGGTGCCTTTGGCTGTGTCTGTTCGTTGGTCCTGCCCTGGAGCACACTTMGGAAGCAGGCTGTGGGTCTTACATGGAGAACCGGGGATGCATTCCAAGTTTACCCTCCGCCTATGCTCCTTGGTCTCAGCTGGGCATTGTGTTTTCAGAGAGGTAGGAGCACAAGGGCTACAAAGAGGCCCCAAGATGTAGTAAACACATCTTGGTGCATTTTTTGCTTTGCTTCTTAAGACTTTATGTCACAAGTACGACAAGGCAAAAAAACTAAAATAAAATCCAACTTTTACCCAGTCTTCATCAGGAAGTCAAAGGAGTGGGTGAAGTGAGGGGGAATAAGCAAAGGGTCTCATTTATACATTTGCCTTCCTGTCAGCAGYTTTGGAGCACCAATATGGTGAATACTTCTCCTGCCATAATCATTTATGTTTCCTTTATTAGTACATAGTCATGTGAACATAAGGAATGAGGAAGCATCCTTTAAAAGCCTTAGGATTTTCTATATGATGACCTCAATATTCACTTTCAGCCATACTGGGAAAACTCACTTTTCATGGAGCGCCACCTAACAGTGAATGTACTAGAATACAAAGTGTTTGGCATGATGCACCTGTGTGTATATACACACACACACACACACACACACACACACACACACACACTCACACACTCAAGTAGGAACTGCATCTAATTATCCAACCTAGTTCTTTTGCAATTTTGATTCTTAAAATCAATCATCTCCTATGTTAGTAGGCATAAACATAGCTCAAGTATTTAAATATTTAAGGGGAGAAAAATTATTTGAAAACCAGTGAAAAGTGAGACCATCAGAAATAGGACACACGTGGCACTCGTGGTCTAACTGCATTGTCAATGACACTTGAAGCTAGAGAATCTAAGCTGGACAGTGGACTTTGAATATGCATTACACACACATAGACATCTTCACTTAAAGGTGTCAAAAGTCCTTTGAGGTTCTGACCATGTTTTAGTAAAGCAAGGTCACATKTTGTTCTCCCCTTTTAGGATTCCAGACTAGAAAATTGGAAGTCTCAGGAAATGCATGTTTTCATGAGTTTTTCCATTCTATAGTTTTACAAATATTCAGTGACACAATCTTTTAACCTTTGATTGCACAACTAAACAGGAGCTCCGTAGAAAGAGTGTTCACCTTTTGAATTGCTAGGAGAAAATAAAGCAGTGCACCTCAGGCTATGCTAAATACAATTTTAAAGTGTTTTATTTTGCAGCACTTTGTTTCTCAAACTTGGTTCAGTAACACCATGGTGTAAATGCTATATTTGCCATAACTTATTGGTGGCTCCTGTGTTCCATGTGGTTTCAAATAATGCTCCAAATTGTTTGTTTTCCCAATGACAGTGATAAAATGTTCTGTAGAATTTGTAAAAGGTCTTGACTGAATCTGTTAAAACTTGTGTAATTTTTATTTCACTTGTGATACTATTTTATAGTTATTAGTTCTAAATGTATATTTGTATGAGTCAAAACTATGTGCTTGTCAGTGGTATGTGTAAATATATTGTACCTTACTAAATATCAAACTTATCCTAAAGAAAAAGGGCACATTATGACCAGCCTTAATTTGTCACCATTTTTTTTTTGGTTGTCATTGCTGCAATTTGGATTTAAACCTTAAACATAAATTATGTTTTTGTTAAAGATGACTTTTTAAAAAAAAAAATCTTATGTGGTATGTGCTTTAGAAGTTTTCTGAGTTCCCACAAGCAAACCGTCCAGTTTGCAAAGCACCTATGTTTTTCAAAACGACCATGCATTGATTAATTCACTAAATTCATCATCATACAAATAGACTAAATTCACTTTTTGCTTCCGTCAGAACCCGTGCATTGCTAAAGTTCTTCTTCCCAACATGGAACTCTGTAAAAAGATTTTTGCTTTAATGATAACTTTTCCATAACAAATAGTTTTTCTGTAGACCATTATTTTTGAAAACTGGATCTTCTGAAGGAAAATGAACCACTTTGGCTCTGTGAAAGTTGCTGAAGCTCCATCAACATGATGTGGTTCCAACATGGTTCTCTTTTCAAAAAATAAGCATGCAACACTCACACTATTCCTGTCTGCCCTGTGTGCATCCCACCGGTAGAAAGCTCATGATTTTAAGAATCTATCCTGGCAGTTATGCTCGAAGCAAAAATCTTACAATCTTCTTTAGACTGGGATCTGGATATGAAATATTAATTAAACTTCTTATTTCCTCCATCTCCAAGAATTTGTTTTTAATATTTAGTGTTGCCAAATAAAATACAGGACATTGGTGACATTCTAATTTTGGATAAATAATTATTTTA